CTGGGCCACAGATGCTGAGGCCCAAGTCAGGAAGGACACAGGCCTCACAGAGCTTAGGCTGCCACAGGTGCCCTAGAGTTACCACCCTCCCTCCATTCACCCAACCCCAGCATCACCCACTTGTGATGTCCAGGTGGAAGGAGACCCTCTGGCCTCCGGCCTCGCAGCTGTACTCCCCAGCATCTGCCTTGCCCGCCTTCTGCACTACCAGCTGCCGCCTACAGTCAGAGGCCTCCACTCGCACCCAGGAGCTCTGGCTCAGCTTCTTCCCATCCTTGTACCACATCACCTGTGTCTGGGCCTTGGCCACCTCACAGGTCAGAGTGGCACTGGCCCCCGCCTCGGCCTTCACCTCGGTGTGTGCCAGCTGCTCTTTAGCAAACACCACCTTGGGCTCTGGGGACAGAGGGGAGGGACACACAGGTCAGGGACTCTGTCTTTGGCAAAAAGCCACCTGGGGAAGGACCTCTGGCTGGACAGTTGAGTACAGAACCTTCTGCAGGCCACACTAGTTCGTGCCCTGGAGAAGCCCAGCACCCTTAGCACAAGGGACCACAGTGTGTGACACAGCCTGCCCCTGGTGCATTGGGCTGTTCCAGGTGGAAACACTGTGACAGGCCCCAGCACTGGCTCCTCCAGGGAGGAACTGCAGAGCCTGATGCTGCACCTGCCACTCAGTGACCAGGAAGAGTCTCCCCAGGACCATACTGGGTGTGTGTCTCCTGGCAGGTCCTAGGAGGGCCCAACTGCTGCCTGCTCTGAACTGTGGGCTGCTCCTCAGGGAGCCTAGGCCACCGTGGCTCCTGTGCCCACTGAGGCCGCACAAAGCCGAGCACCTGTGACAGTTACTGGTGCTTTAGGTGTCTGCTCAAATCTTCTGCCCACTTATCATGCAGCCCTTCTGTCTTTATTTGAGGTGCTCATGTGTGGGGGTGGTAGAGAGTTGGCTCTTATTTATTTTGTGATTTCTCATGGTCTCCGTGCCCTGTTCTGTCTCGCAGGTATCTTCCTAGGAGCCACGTATTCAATTATGTTGCATTCAAATAAATCTCTCTTGCCCCAGGGTTAGGGATGGAGTTGGGTAGGCACCTGCCCCCCCCATGTCTCCATCAACTATGTGACACACAAGGTGTCTGTGGCTTCAGCTCACGAAGCCCTGACCCCCTGGAACATGTGGACCACACCCAGTGTCATTCCATCTTTCCACGCATTCAAATGGTCCAGTCACTATGAAAACATCATCTTTCTCTACCTCT